AGGCAAAATATCTATGAGAAAAGAGTAAAAAATTATATTACATTAATATTTTTTTTAAGTTTAGCATATTATTGAAATAATTGTTTTTTTCAAATTTTAAACTTACTTTCAATTTTTTTTAATTAATAAATTAAAATTAAACTATCTATTTTACCACCTGAATCCCAAATGCCAAATTTACTTCATTAATTAATCAATTACAAATCCAATAAGACAATAAACAATCCAAAATTCAAGTGATTAAAGTGAAGAATGAAAAGCAAACCTCATATCCCTTTTCATTATTTCATTCTCTCACACTTTTTAACCCACGAAGAACAATCAAATAGAAAAGAGAAGAAACTATATTATAAGTCTTTGTTGATTGCACAACAATAATACAATATACATAGTAATATTACCATTTTAATGATTGGGCACATTTGAGAGTCAGGCTTAAGGAATATGAAATGAATAGTTTGCATATCAACAATATGACTACTTGGATTGATTTACGTGCTAGTGAAAATTTTGTAAAATCTTTTACTAAAAGAAACAAATGAGACTTTTGATATATTAACTTATTTGAAAAGATTGGGTTGATTTCCAAATACATTAATTTCTTATGAAATATTATTGACAATTCAAATTACCGTTGTATCTATCTAAAAAGTTTTTTTTTTAAAATTAAAATCTTATTTGCGATCAATATGTTACAAGAACGATTGAATAAGCTATCTTTAATATCTGTTGCACAAAATTTGCTAGAACATATTGATTATAAAAGTTTAATTAGTGAGTTTACTTTTAGAAATACAAAGAAATATTTTTACTTAATTTGCTGCATTACAAGTTTTACACAAAGAGTTTAGTGGCTTGGATGGTTATTTGGTGATAAGATATGAATTTTGATGAAGTTTTGGAGGATCTTTTGAGCATTACTTATACTTTTCTTATTTAAGACATGTAAAAAATAAATAGATATTTAAATGTCATATTTTTGTAATGAAATAGTATTACTGGAACATATTTTTTAATTTCGTGAAAGGGTCGTCATTTTAAAATGTCGCATAGGGCACCTAAAAGTTTAGGACCGGCCATGGTGCTATTTTCACTATGCCTAATTGTAGAGTGAAATGTTTTAAAAATTATTAAACTTATACCATGATCATAGAGTGTTCACTAAACTTTATTCTGCTTCACAATGGCCACTGAACTTTCCCGTAACCACTTCATCCGTCACCCTGTAAAATCTGTTTTGTTAACTGTCGATATGGCGGACAGAACTTTGACATGGCAGCTGCCTGCCGTTAAAATGAAGCCAAATCACCTCCAAAAGCCCAATCATCATAAAATGTCTATTTCCAAACACGTATTTGTCTTCCCCTCTAAAAAAAATAGAAAAATAATAAAAAAACAATATGAAACGTCCAACCTCAAACAGACAAACACATATCCAGATTCCTAATTCGATTTTCTCCAATTCATTTGAAACCATAACCACAAATCTTTAATTCATCCACACGCACGACCCCGCTTATTGAACTTCGGACGAACGCACACATGGAGGAACCACATGAAGGCAAATTTGAACTTAATTTCTTTCGTTTCGTTGTCGTTGGAGTTTTCTGTTCGAATCACCATTTTATACTTTCCCAGTGTTGTTTTTAGGGCTGGGCAAAATGTCCGAACCGAACCGAACCGAACCGGAACCGAACCGACCCG